ACCGACCAAACTGTGCAGCTCTGCAACTGTATCCCTGCCCATCCTCACCCTTCTGCCCCCAACCCTCACCTCCTTGTACCCCCAATATGTTTTTCCCAATAAAAAAAGAAGCATAGATGTAGGCTGTACACATGGACTTCACATGATAGAATGCTTAAGAATCAGATCGATTACATCTGTGGAAAGAATCACTGGAGAAGTTCAATATCAGCTGTGAACACTAGGCTAGGTGCTGATTGTGGAACAGACCACAAACTACTCATATGCAAGTTCAAGCTGAAGCTAAGGAAAATGAAATCCATGGGAACTAAACCTTGACCTTCAGTGTATCCCACCTGAATGTTAAAACCATCTCAGGAACAGGTTTGAGGCCTTGAACATTGACCTGAGACTTCTTATATGTAGTCTGCTAGTTTGATTATGCAAAGGCATTTGACTGTGTGGATCATAACAAGTTGTGGCTGACATTAAGAAGAATGGGAATCCCAGAACACTTAATTGTGATCATGCAGAACCTCTGCCTGGACCAGGGGCTGTTGTGTGAACAAAGCACTGCATGGTTTAAAATTGAGAAAGGAGTTCATCAGGATTGTATTCTCTCTCCATACTTACTTGATCTATATACTGAGAAAATTATATGAGAAGCTGGACTCTATGAAAAAGAGTGTGCCATCAAGATTAGAGAGAGACTCATCTATAACCTTTGTTATACAGATGATACAATCTTGTTTGCTGAAAGTGAGGAGGACTTCAAGCACTTGTTGCAGAATATCAAGGAGTTTAGCCTTCAGTTGGATTGCATCTCAGTATCAAGAAAACAAAGATTCTTACCACTGGACCAATGGTCAGCATCATGATAGACGGAGAGGTGATTGAAATTGTCAACAGCTTCATCTTGCTTGGATGCATATTTAACACTCTTGATACCAGCTGTCACAAAATGAGGTGACACATTGCACTGTGAAAATCTGCAGTTAGGGATCTCTCTAAATTATTAAGGAGAAATGAGGCCAGTTTAAGGACCAAGGTGTGTCTGTTAGGTGTGTCTGTTTCAAGCCACAGTCTGATTACTTGCTAGGCATCCGAGAGCTGGACAGTGAATAAGGATGACAGAAGAAGAATTGCCCCCCCCCCAAGCTTTTGAGCTGGGCTGTGGTATTGGAGAAGAGCACTGAACATCCCATGGACAGGCTGGAGAACAAACAGATATATCTTAGGGAGGGAACAGCTGAAACTTCACCTCACATGAGAGTTGGGGTATATTGCTAGGAGAGGCTACTCCTTGGAGAAAAACATGATGTTGGGAAGGGTGGAGGGTCAGCAAAGGAAAGGAAGATCCTCACCCAGGTGGATTTAATAGTGACTACTACAGGGGCCTCTTGTGTGTCAGGAAGTATGAGGATGGCGCAGGATAGGACAGGATTAAGATCTTTTGTTCATTCAACAGACCTAACAACAACAACAACAATAATTAATTTATGGAGAACAAACAATAATAACAATAAAATTTCTATTTCTAGAGAATAAGTTTCAAAAACTTATTTTAGAAAAATATTTTAAACTAGAGGAGAAAATTTTTATAATCATTTATTATTTAAGGTTTTATTTTAGTTCTAGCATTAAGGTGGCTATTGCAAGATCTATCTTTTTATTAATTTACTTATATTTTATTGTTGTTATTGTTATGTTCCATCGAGTTGCCCGCGACTCATAGTGACCCTATGTACAACAGTCCTAAACCCTGCTCTATCACATGGCAAATGTATTGTCTCTGAGATACCTATCCCCGTTAACCCAGTGACTGACTCAATCCATCTCATCGAGGGTCTTCCTCTCCTGCGCTGTCCCTCCACCCTCCCAAGCATGATGTCCCTCTCCAAGGATGGGTCCCACCTTGCAACATGTCCAGAGTATGTCAGATGAAGCTTCAGAATCCTTGCCTCCAAGGAGCAGCCTGGCTTCACCCTCTCCAGGATGAACTTGTTTGTTCTCCTAGCAGTCCATGATATATTCAATACTCTTCTCCAGCACCACAGATCAAAGACATCAACTCTCTTCCTATCATCCCTAGTCATTGTATCTCTGATGCATAGCAAGTAATTGCAAAGACCATGGCCTGTATCAGGTGTACCTTAGTCTCCAGAGTGACACCATTGCTCTTCAGTACTCTGGAGAGGTCCCTAACAGCAGACTTTCCTATTGCAATACGTCTTTTAATTTCCTGGCTGCTGGTACCAAGAGTGTTGACCCGTACAGCTAAGAAAACTGATGCTGTCAACAATCTGAATCTCTTCACCATCTGTCTTGATGCTGCCAATCAGCCCTGTGGTGAGAATCTTTGTTTCTTTATGCTGAACTTCAATCCATATTGAAGGCTTCAGTCCTTGACCTTCTGCAGAAAGCGCTTCAGGTTCTCCTCAGTTTCAGCAAGCAGTCATCTGAATAACACAGGTTGTTGATGAGTCTACCTCCAATCCTGATGCCACACTTTTACTCATAGAGCCCAGCCTCCCAGATAATCTTTTCCACATATAGATTGAAAAGATATGGAGATAAGACACATGATGCATGCCCTTCCCAATTTTGAACCATGTAGTGTTTCCTTGCTCTGTTCTGATGACTGCTTCCTGGTCTAAGTATAGAACACAATCAAGTGTTCTGAGATTCCCATTTTTCTCAAAGTCAACCACAATTTGTTGTGAATGAAACACAGATAGACATTCCCTTGGTACTCTATGCTTTCAGCCAAGATCCATCTGATATTAACTATAATATCCCTAGTGCCATGGCCTCTTCTAAACCCAGCCTGCACTTCAGGTAGTTCTCTGTTGATGTGCTGTTCCAGTTGTTTTTGCATAATCTTCAGCAGAATCTTGCTTGCATGAGATATCGATGATTAGGGAACTTTTAAATGTTCTTTTAAATCTTTATTTAAAATCTGTGTTACTAATTTTGTTATTATGAGCTCAATTTTAAGTTTTTGTTTGTTTTTTTTTTAATTTTAAGTTTTTTTAACTGCTGTTTAACCCTGACAAAATCTAAACTTTCTGGAAAGTTGAATAAACAATATGATATAACTCAGATACTTAGATTCACTATGCATCACTTTCAAAACTCTGTAACATTAAAAAAAACAAAACCTTAAAGTGTTTGTTCTTTACCCTTTAGTTCAAACTATTAAAATTTATGCAACTTTTGTACACTATTGTTAGTTTTTCTTACAATTTTTTCCCTAGGTTGTTTGTTGTGATAGGCTTTATTTAGCAGTGAGCAACTGAGTATTCTAAGTCATTGTTAACTAGATTATGTTCTAGTATGAGATGTTCAGAGTTTTTGTTTGTATACCTGGTACATACAAGTGTGAAATATTTGAGAAGGATCTTTTTTTGATCATTGATTGTATTGCTGTTGTTATGTATTGCCAAGCCTGAACCAACTCCTAACTGATCCTCCAGGAGGTCTTCAGAAGCTGCAAATTGTATGGAGAAGACTGCCTATATTTCTCTCTCTGAGCAACTAGGGGAATCAAGCTGCATACCTTTGGATTGGCAGCACAACTCCCTGCATTGTTTAGTAGAGTGTAGTGTTGACAGCACAATGAAATACTATACTTTAATCCTCTTTTTCTGATTGTTGTTGATATTTACCATTGAGTCAGAACTGATCCATAGCTGACCCTCCAGCAGGTTTTCAGAGGCAGTAAATGACACAGGAGGAGATTGCCCATCCTTCTCCCATGAAGCAGCTGGTGGATTCGAACCGCATGTCTTTGGGTTGGCAGTGCAGTTCCTTACAACTAGGCCATTAGAGCTTCCTCTGATGTTTCTGATTAGCAGTAGATTATTTGTGTAATTTTTCTGATAACAGGAGGTATATGCCCAAAATGTTTCTAAACAGTGTGTTGGAGTTAATTGTATGTCTTATTTAAGTGTATAAGAAAGTTTAGATGGAATAATAAAATGGCTATTATTATTATTGTACAACTAAATAAGTCGCTATTATTATAGGGTCATAGCTTCTCTGGTTTGTGATATTCTTTACAATTCAGTAATAAAATTTTGTCAGATACTAAAAAATCCGTTTCAGGACCCTTTCATAAGTCACTGGGCCTATCTGTATAAAAGAAATTGAGTGAAATTGGTTCTACCATAAAGGGTTTTGTCATTCCTTTGATGATACTTAATGGATTAAATAAAGGCCCCTATCCTGCCCTATCCTTTTACTGTGGCTGAATAATGGACAAATGTACTAAGTAATTGCTTTAGTGCATTTGTGCTAACAACAGTTGTTGAGTTACTCAGGTCTTTGATTAGCATTCATGATATTTTTACCTATATTTTCCTAATATTTGGCTTAAATAAGATGACCTTCACTGGATAGTGTTGCGTTCTAAAGCTATATTTCTGTTATTCATTTATTGTGTTCCAAGCAAAGTAATGAAGGAAATGTTAAATATTAATTTGTATTTTAGCTCTCTACCTTGCTTAAAGTAAATAGAACAGAGATCCTTTCTCATGTGTACTACTATTAGTCAGATGTCCAACATTTTATCTCACTTTTCCTAATTATTAAGCTTATAAAAATTATGAAGAGGTTGTCTTTATGGACCATCAAGTTGGAATCAACTGATACAATTGCTTGGGGAGAAATTGTCCCATTTTTCTTACTGGCAAAGCAGCTGTTGAATTCAAACAATGTGCTTTTAATTTGGCAGCACAACTTCTTACCTCTAGAGCACCAGAGCTCCCCTAGAAGAAAGTTAGTGTTGTTAAAAAAGAAAGTTTAAATAATTCTAAAACTACCTCTTTGATTCCATGATTTCATGCCCTTCAAATTTTTAGAATTAACTCATTCTTTATGTTTCCTGTGAGTAGATGTAGTATCTACGCCTTGGACTGTAGAACCTGGAGGCAATCAGCTGAGAACCATGAACTACAATATAGTCCTTAATAATCCACTTACTGGAAAATGCACCTCTGCCACTGAGAAGCAGGTATGTCTACCCTGTCAGTGTTCCAAGGGAGCCATGCATGTGGGAAAAGGTTATTAAAGACGTAGCCATCCAATAGTCTGTGGTATAGTCTGCTGCTATTAATTTGAAACTTCATTCCATACGTTTTAAGCTTGACCTGGGGACCATTTTGTTGTTGTTTTTAATTACACATTTGATTCCACTTTAAGGCAAAATCTTTTTCAGCACAGTAGCAGAATGAACACAGTATATTATAGTCCCCAAGATATAATTCTTAACCTAATTTATAGCAGAAGAATAAGAAAGAAAAAGGGGGAAGGGAAATTAAGGATACAAAACTATGCAGAAGACTAGTAAATCTTCAAGTGATCAACAGCCTCTTCTGCAGGGAAATAAAGAAACTCAAGCTCACTGCCTTCAAGTCAGTTCTAACTCATAGCAACCTTCTGAGGCTGTAAATCTTAACAGGATGAGATTCCTTGTGAGGACCAACTAGTGCATTCAAATCACCAGAGACGCTTGACCTTTTGGTTAGAAGCACAGCACAGTAAGGGCTGAGCTACCAACACACCACTCCTCATCAGGAAATAGACATTCATACATTTCCAGTGTAGGGTACAAAACCCATTACAGTCCAAATAGAGAAGAATTTACATATGAATTTTCCCTTTGATCCAATAATAATAACACTTCTACACATTTAAATTAAAGATGATTGATAACAAGATGACAGGTCCATGATTTGTTCATGCAATGCTATTTAAAAAGTAAAAATCTAGACACAAGTAAATGTCCATCAAATTGTTTGTTGTTGTTATGTGCCATCGAGTCGTTTCCAACTCATAGCGACCCTATGCACAACAGCTCTAAACCCTGCTCTATCCTGCGCCAACCGCACCGCCTCTGACACACCCATCCCGATTACCCCAGTCACCGAATCAATCCATCTCATAGAAGGTCTTCCCCTCCTGCGCTGTCCCTCCACCCTCCCAAGCATGATGTCCCTCTCCAAGGACCCGTCCCTCCTGGCAACATGTCCAAAGTATGTCAGACGAAGCCCCAGAATCCTTGCCTCCAAGGAGTAGCTTGGTTTAATCCTCTCCAAGATGGATCTGTTTGTTTTCCTGGCAGTCCAGGGTACATTCAGTACCCTTCTCCAGCACCACAGCTCAAAAGCATCCACTCTCCTTCTGTCCTCCCTAGTCATTGTCCAACTCTCTGAGGCATAACAAGCGATTGCAAATACCATGACCTGTATCAGGCGCACCTTAGTCTCCAGAGAGACACTGTTGCTCCTGAGTACGTTTGAGAGGTCCCTAACGGCAGACTTTCCCATCGCGATACGCTTTTTGATTTCCTGACTGCTGGTACCAAGAGTGTTAACTCTGGAGCCGAGCAAAGTGAAGCTGTGAACAATCTCAATCTCTTCGTCATCCATCCTGATGCTGCCAATTGGTCCAGTGGTGAGAATCTTTGTCTTCTTGACGTTGAGCCTTAGTCCATACTGAAGGCTGCAGTCCTTGACCCTTCGCAGCAAGTGCATGAGGTCCTCCTCAGTTTCAGCAAGCAAGGTTGTGTCATCTGCATAACGGAGATTGTTGATAGATCTTCCACCAATCCTGATGCCACAATTCTCCTCATAGAGCCCAGCCTCTCGGATAATCTGCTCTGCATACATGTTGAAAAGGTATGGAGACAGGATGCATCCCTGGCGTACACCCTTCCCTATTTTGAACCATGCAGTGTTACCCTGCTCTGTTCTGACTACTGCCTCTTGGTCCAAGTATAGGTTTCGTATTAGCACAATTAAATGTTCTGGGATTCCCATTCTTCTCAGAGTCAGCCACAGTTTGTTATGGTACTTCTATATAATGAAATATTAGATAGCTATCAAAAAGAATGAGTTTGATTTATAAATATTAGTTTGTCTAAGATATATTATTAAGTAAAAAAAAATCAATAGTATAGAATTGTGAAAGAGTATGTTTAACAAATAATCTTTCATCTAAGGAGAGATTGTGTAGGACATCATGCTTGGGAGGGTGGAGGGCAGGTGCAGGAGGGGAAGGCCCTCTAGGAGGTGGATTGATTTGGTGACTGGGGTAATCAGGATGGATGTGTCGGATACAGTGAAATTGGCACAAGACAGAGCAGGGTTTAGGGCTATTGTACATGGGGTTGCTATGAGGTGCAAGTGACTCGACGGCACATTATACACACACACACACACACACACACACACACACTGAAAAGAGACCAAAATATTAAAAATTAGTGGAAGGGACAAGGCTAGATGCTATCCTTCTGTGTATATATGTTGCTTATAAATTTTACTTTGAGACCATAGGAATGTTTTAAATAATGAGAAATAATTTTTTAAAAGACTAGTTCTTAGAAATGGAAGCAAAATAGAGAAAATGAAAATAACTGCATTGGGCATAGGCACATGATTTAAAAAAAGAGAAATTTTTTTCAGTTATTTCTTTTTTTTTGTTTTGGTTTAAAAAAATTTATTAATTTAAATGAAAATTTACAGAGACTTTGGATTTCCATTCATTCACTGTTGCACCTTTCTCCCCTCTCAACCCTCTCCCCTGGTACACTACCCTCTTGGAAAAGTAAAAGAAAAATTCTTTCATTGTTTTATAGTCCCTCCCCCAGGTCCACTCCACTATGGAACCTTTGCTCTGTATTCCTGTCATGACAAAAATACCTAATCACATATCCCTTTTAAACAGTTTTCTCCTTTAACTGTTTCAATGCAGTATACATTTTTTTTTTGAGTTGGCATTAACTCATAAATCACCCTGTAGTGGGTTTTTCTTTCTTTATTTATTTTTTACAGAGGTTTTGGATTTCCATTCATTCATTGCCACAATTTTCTCCCTGCCCACCCCTCCCCACCAGCTCGCTTCCCCCTCCGAAGAGAGAAAAAAAAA